GTTAAGCAGTTCTTAAGGGGCAACTAACGAGCAAAGCAAACGAAAACCTACCGCTAAGGCTTCCTTACTACTAAGGTGTCCTTCAACTATCCTTTACGATTGCTGGGAAAATGGCCATTAATAACTTCGATGACAGGAAGATGACATATCTCTACACTGTTGCCTTAAATTTGGAAAAAAAAAACATCATCATCTTGACGAGATTAGGAATCTTTAAATATCTTGTTTGCTTTGTTTTTCTGCAAAATTAGATCTTTCAACTCATTATTCATCCATTTAGGAAATTTGGGTGTCGTAAATCTACACATAGGAACAAACGAATTAACCGCATGGTAGAGTATGTCATAAAATTCCGAAACCAATTTAAAATAAAATATTGAATTTCCATTGGAAATTTCAGCCTCTCCGCTTTTGGAGAACAAGAACAACTATTGTCAACAAGCAAAGCTACTTAGGGAAATATGACAGTGTATTGACCAACTTATTGCTTGACGAGCCAGCAATAAACGAATATAAATAGTGGTCGGCAATATACGGATAGGCAGAATTGAACCAACGCAAATACGTCTTTTGGGAAAGCTCCTCTAGCCTCAAATCTCGACTCAGCGCAATAAGGTACTTGCATAAAAAATTAAATTGATTATTGTTTATTGCAAACTGTAGGAAATCGAAAAAAAATCTAGACGTTTTTTGTTATTTTGTCCAAATATGATTATTCCCGAACTTATACAAATATTAAGTTTTGTATATATAGATATACTGAGCATGTACAACGTCATAAAGTATTATACCTTATGACGTCATAAGCAGATTTCAAAGCGTTGTATCTCCGTCAATTTTTGACTGACACCAAAAAGAAAAAACACGTGTTGACTTATTTTTCATTGTCTAACAAACTCAGCAATAAAAAAACTGATGCTCATTACCTTTATGGGAAAGTCCCTCTGGACGGCCCTTTACTTTAATGAATCGCTCCTAACGAAGCTTTGTATGTTTCAGGTAGCTCCCCTGTGCCCCTTTAGAAGATGCACTATGGTGCCATCCTTTGGTAATTACTATTATACCCTTTACTCTACAATATACCTTAAACTAAATACCGAGCGAGTCTCTATCCTCCTGACCCTACGCTACGTACCCCGTCACGACAGGATAAAGTTGTGACATTTGGTGGAGGTGCCGTCTCGAACCCGCTCAAAAACCGACGCCGACGACGCCTTTAGGCGCCTTGTAAACAAGCCAACTCCACACCATGTCACTACCCAATAGGGTACTTGCATGGAAAATTAAATTGATTATTGTTTATTGCAAACTGTAGGAAATCGAAAAAAAAATCGTTACTTTTTTTTTAATTCGCCCAAATATGATTATTCCGGAAGTTATTCAAATATCAAGTTTTGTATATATAGATATACTGAGCATGTGCAACGTTACTAATTTATTAGATAAGTGACGTCATAGGCAGATTTCATAGTGTTGTATCTCCGTCAATTTTTGACTAAGAAGAAAAAGAAAAAACACGTGTTAACTTATTTTTCATGGACTATCGAAATCAGCAATAAAAACATTTGATGCAAGGAGCCTATTATGCCGACAAGAGAAAGATTCACGACACCGTGGCGAAGGCACTCAAAAAGAAGAAAAAGTACAGAAATTTCGCAAAAAAGTATTAGTACTATAAGATCAATGGGCGAAGGTGCAAGGGTTATTAAATACGAATATAGCAAAAGTATTACATAAATCGAATGTCAGAAAAACAGTATAAATACAATCTATGATCCAAAGGCACTCTTGATAAGAGCTATAGCGGTGGAAAATATAAATAAGAGGCAAGGAAAAGATAAGGAGCGATTCGACGAGAGACACACACGGCCATTTGCACCGCTATAACTTAAGGGATATTTAATACAAGTGGAGCTTTGAATGTGACTCACGTAGAAACAAAAGTCACAGTCAAAAGCTCCACTTAAATTGAATATCCCTTAACATCCCTTAAGTGATAGCGGTGCAAATGGCCAACAGGGAATTAAATTTTGACGTAAGAGACAAAGTGAAAGTATTTATCCCAATAAGAAATGTTGGGCGCAGTGAGAAGCTGCTTTTGAGATGGTGTGGACCATATAAAGTTATAAGAAAAATGGGAGAAGTAAATTATGAGGTAGAAAAAATTGGAAGCAAAAAGAGGAGTTACGGTCCACGTAAGTAGGATGTTGTCTCACAACGACCCGTGGACAGAAGGCGCTTCTATGGAAGCAGTCAATGGAGAATAATGCAGATTCAGAAAGTGAGATGAATATGGAAAACAGTGCGACGGAAGTAGAATCCGATAGTGATGAAGAAATAAGTTAGGAGAACATTAAGAAGCAGAAGTGTCATTAGTATGTTCCCGATAAACAGAAACGACAACGGACAACAGCGACCGCATATCTATCAGAAGGAAAAAATATGTATAATATGGAGAAGAATTGGAGACTGCGTACGCAACAAAAAAAAAACAGGCAGAGGCAGCCTATTCAAGATAGTTGAGAAATAGGATAGAAAACATAGTTTAGCAGTGAAAACGTATGGAAAAGAAATACCAGATTTGGTTTCCCTGCAGGTTATTAGTGCGACTGAAACCAGAAACAGCACTTTTTAATTATTAAAACTTTTTTTTTTTTTTTTCGCGTAACCAAATAAAAACGACCAGCCAGGGACGGACCAATTCAATGAACAAGAATTTGTCAACCACAAACCTGAACAAGGATTGTCCACTTCAAACGTTGGACCAGAATAAGCTCTGAACTGAGTAGGGGCACGAGTTTCTGAACCTATTGCAATAATAGGTATGGTATAATAGCATAATGAACAAATCCAACGAATCAAAGTACCCAGGAGAATACACACTCTAAGGAGTGCTTATCGGCCTGGTTTTTGATAGTCGCCGCCATATTGGTGTGCCACCATTGCCGACGTCATAACTAAGTTGTCAGCTGTTTAAACAGCCTACGTCACGGCGGCATGCTGCCCACGTCACAACTGGTATTTTAGCGTTGGTGTGAAGGGGGAGATTTGTTACACACAGGCCTTATGAGGATAGGCCATCCTGTAGTAGTGTGTATCATCCTTGTCAAAGTACCACCTTCACCAAACCAGATGGACTAAGGGCACCACAAACCAGGCAACGGTTACATAGACCGTGGGACAGTATACACCCCACGACCTAGCTGAACAATCCGCCAGGAAAAAGAATTCGGAGACACGGAACGGGAACGCGGAATCTACTCCAACCCACATGGTGAAGAAGGATACACAGAACCGGACCCATTTCAAGAAAAACCCCAAGGCTGAAGCTACTAACTTATATTTTTTTTCTGAATTCATCGTTTTGTTGACTGAATAATAATGTACCCGTTCCCATCCCCTAATTTTGTTGTATAAATCTCATTAAATGATATTTTTAGATTTAAGTCTTTTTTTATAATTGAATTTATGATTGTGGTTCTTGTATCTATATCATTGGGGCCCCATGCTTTTCAGAGGGGGGGCATAGGTCAACAAGCAAAGCTACTTAGGAAAATATGACACTGTATATGATTGACCGACTTATTTATTGATTGGCGAGTCAGCGATAAACGAATATAAATAGTGGTCGGCAACACACGGATAGGAAGACTTGAACCAGCGCAATTACCTCTTTTGGGAAAGCTCCTTGGGTGTCTTCAGTTTTCGTGTCGTTCAGTGCAATTACCTCTTTTGGGAAAGCCCCTTCGGACGGCCCTTTACTTTAACGAATCGTTCCTAACGTACCTTCGTGTCTTTCAGGTAGCTTCCCTGTGCCTCTATGGAAGAGGCACTATGTACCATAGGGCCATCCTTTGGTAATTACTGTTACCTCAAAGTCTTCTTCCACAAAAAGTTGTGACACTATGATAAAAATGTTTTATACGCACAAAATACCTTAAAAAAACAATGAAAGCCATCATGTTCCGACCTTAGCCATACACACTATTGACTTTTATGTTTCTCTTCAGCTGAAATGAAAATAACATAAAAAACAATATAAAGACAGGTGAATAAGTGAACTCACAAATAACATCAACAATTTACACGCATTAATAAAGTAAGCATTTTCTTGACCAAATTGAATCAAAATGAACAAAAACCTTTAAACTTTTACCACTCGTTTCCTAGTGAGGATTATATTCTCAAATTCACAACAGAAATAAAGTGATTGATTTGAATTATAAGAAAATTGTATTACCATTTGTCGATCTAACTCCAAATCCATCATAAATATGCATACATTGATAAAGTAGCATCTTCTTGCTTGACCAAAATAAATCAAATTGAAAAACACCCCTTCAACTTTCAACACTCCTTGCCTAGTGTGGGAATATTCCTAAACTCACAAAACAAATCATGATTGATTGAGTGATTGGATTCCACGAAACATATATATCATCCTTTAACTCTATAAGGTTAAACTTAATAATTAAATTATGTGTGGTACATTTATATTATGTTGGCATTAAAATCAGTAATTATTGGGGAAGTTTTAACATACATACATGGATATATTTTGATATGCGGTGGTGAATTTAGACAGCATATCGTCTCAATCTGTTTCTTGCGTTTAAATTAAATCACCAGCAATTACCACCTCCCAATAAGAGAAAATTTGACATAAACATGCATACCATTCATGAGCCAAATCGAAACAAAACGATTCTCTTGACTTTACATTTGAAGTATTTATCTGATAAACTATAATATGCTCTATCGATTATAAAAAACAGCAAATGATTCATTGTTTAAACCTATAACTTAATATCAATAGAGTTGCCTATGATCTTACACGTAAGCAAATAAATGTCTATCGTATAATAACATATTGTGTGATTTGTTTCGAATGCTTCAACATCAGTGTAAATGCATGAAGCTAAGTCCCATTTATAGAAAGCAGGACAAAAATAAAAATTCAAACACTACTTTCCGTTGAATTATAATATCTAAATTTTTACCTCACAAAATTTAGCTCCATATCTAGGAGGTGGAGAATCGCAGAGTCGGTAACGACTCCGAATACCACCAATGCAAGTACTCGAACATGGTGTCCATTCGCTCCAGGGACTCCATCCTCCACGTTCTTGATCTGAAAAATTAAACAGTGCCTCAGTAAATAAACGAGCTGTAAGTTAGACTAAGCTCTCATTTATTCCAAACGTGCGCCGCTGTAACCATTGTGTCCTGGACAAATGTCGTCCAATTCAAACATTTTAGACATGAAAATTTTATTAAAACTTCTCGAAGTCTTGCGTTCTCGTTTCGTGTTCGGCAAAGAACAGTTTAAAGTCGGGTTGAATAGCATCAGAATTTAAATTAACTACTTAACAGGCGCCTTGGCAAATCCTTACACTAAGAAGTCGCGGAAAAGGAAATATCAGTTTAAGGGAAATTTAACATGACAAAGATTTTTTTGACTAATGTTGACGAAAGTAGGTAACTGCAATGTCTTCGACTTGAGAAATTTACATTTTATCAGGTCGAGGTGAATTGATCTTGAGTGATCAGTCTGTTCATTTAATGATTTCTATTCTGGCGGAAAATATAGTGACTCTTGGTTGGTGATTCAAACCTATTTTACTTCATTACTTATTTCGTGAAATGTCGATGAAAAAGATAAACCGATTCTGACAGCAAATTCGATACCTATCTACTATCATATCATCAGAAATCACAAATTAAATGAAATGGGGCATATTATTAATATGTATATCACTAAATAATTTGGAAAGGTTACGTTTATTCAAAAAATTTGACCGAAAAAAAAAAAACAATCACTGCTACTTACTTTCAACATAAGTTTTACTTAACAAGGAAATACAGGAAATAGAGTGATCACGAAAGTTTCTACATTTAAGTTTTATATTGCAGCAAGTTGAACCAGGTTTTTTGGTTACTGACAGGACAATTTATTTTCATTGAATTTATTTTCTCAAAGTGGGATTTCTTGACGAGATAGTAGTTGCTCGAGCTTTGTTTGAAAATGATGCTAAAATTCGACAACGTGTGAGAAAGTTTAATCGCAGCCTATCAGACCTCAAATTAATTAAATTATTTATATACGTTGAAATTTTATTATTTAATCACCAAGCGTGATGTCATCTCCTAAATCAAATCAATGAACTTATTAAAAGCGAGGCCAAAGTAATTAAATAGGTGATTTATGGCCCGCACGTGTTTGTCGGTTTTTTTTGAGTTTTCGTCACATTTTTATACGAAATCTTTTGACCCCGATAAACCAGGAAATTGCGACATAATTATTCGATTTTAAGCAAATAAAAACCCGGAATAGATCAATTACAAGGTTAAGCACCTAATTAAATTCGACCCAAAATGACAAAAATTTCGAACAGATTGCATCATCCTCTGAAAATGATGAAATTAGTTTTTGGAATAATATCTAGGTCGAGTGGTCGACCAATAGAATTAAATTATAGATGGTCAAACGACCGCCCATTGTCGATTTTGGTTGGTAATTAATAATATTTTGGGTGGAATCGAAAAACACAGCGGTTTTAGAAGTGGAGGGCAGTTGAGTTGAGTTTAAGTTCAGTCCAGTTGTTAGTCTTAAGCCTGCAGTCCAGTTTTGGGTTTAAAGTCTACAGTCCGGATAAAATTCGCGAAGAATTTCTTTTATTTTATTGCCTCGGAAAAACGAGTTCAATCGAATCTTTGTAAAAGTACAGAAAATTGGGAAAGAAAGATCATTTAAGTAAGTAATCAAAAGAATTAAATAAGATTACTTTAATGTTTTATGAACAAAATGTAAGTACTCTATAGTGACAAGTTTTATTTTTGACTATAAATGATGAATGAGTATGAAGTGAATTAACTTTGGAACTTTATTGCGTAAATATTAATAACTCGAGTGTTTTGACTATGGAACATTATTGCATAACTTTAATTGCCTTCGAGTGAAATAACATTAAAATTAATTTTGCGAAGAGTTTAAAGGGGGAATTTATAATGCACTTAACAATTTTGAATTATGGTTTTAATCATTTAGAAATTATTGTAAGATTTTATAAAAATATTAATCCAGTGAGTCGGATTATGACTTAAATAATTATATTGCATAAGCAGTCAGTAAAGGACTTATGAGTTTTAAGAATTTATAGATATAGGTGAAGGGTAGTTTTAATAGAAATGTGAATCGGAAGTGTTGTTATGTATAAATTTATAAGTTATTAAGAATAGAAGAAGAAGGGGGCCTTTTTTTTTTTGTATGGATATTTTCTGGTCCTTAGTAATGAAATTTGAACGGATGTGGAATAATTTGTGTTGGAAAAAATAGAAGTGGCTGTCAGAATAGAAAGATATTTGCTTATTTAAATTTTTGATTTCAAGTATAATAAAACATAATTTAGTAAACCTCAATAGTATGTTTCTCTCTTTTGCGAATAGACCCCCTCCACAATTTTATAGGTAGCCGCTCAAGGAAATAAACACCATCAATATACCGCTCGCCATTTACCATCTAACTAACTAAATAAAGTACTTGAGTGCGTTTTGATTCAATACTGGTTCCAAATATTCTTTGCATAAGCAAACAAATATTGTATTGAAAATTATTAAAACTGCATTGGAAAAATATCGGTATGATGATTTAACTGAACTGAAGTTTGTTTATATTTGCGGAAATTCATTTTGTAACATTCTAGTATAAATAATAATGAAAAAGTGAGTTAAAACTGCAGGGGGATAATCGAGCTTCTGTATACGAATTTATTGTAAACATCGGCATTGTTCCAGTAATCAATAAAATTCCAATTAGCGGGTTTTGATGTTATTTGCGAAAATTTAACAAAAACACCTTTATAGCCTATGCGAACACATAATAATATTTTTTTACCTGATACAGGAAGCGTGGGCACGCAGTCCTCTCTGACATCAGCTACCGCTCCTGATATGCTTTGACTCACATACACAAAACAATATTCCACATATCTCTCGGTAAATAGGTCACAGTCGAAATGTAAGCTATGGTGGCCTCTAACAACCTATGGAAAAAAAAATGTTCATGAATATTTTCATTTACAATTTTAATGCAGAACGTTTTTTGGTAATAGGGCTAATTGGACAAAATATAATTGTTGAAATGGAATTCAAACAACGATATCATTAATCATAGGAGTAAGTAGGACTTTAGAAACCCTCGCCTACCGACTGAGGTGAATTTTCTCTTCGAGATATAAGACGAGAGGCATAAATTTAACGGAGGTTGCAGCACATGTTATTTCCTTAGGTCTTCATAGTCAGTGATCGAAAGGAATAGATCTATGGCAACGTGCTACGTCATATAATGGTTACTCACTGTAGCTAATGTTTTCCCATTTTGTATAAACAAACTTCGCTCTTCTTGCTTAAACGCCTGATAGTCGAGAAGACGAATGCATTTGCTGCCTCTCTGGAGGCAAAGTATATGCTCAACAATGACCCTGACAATGATATTGAAGATGAGGAGAAGGTGGACATCCGAGGAAATAAAATCCCCTATGGATTCCATATAAATTAAGGAAGCTTCTTCCACTTTTCTCTGTTTTAAACTAGTTGCTTCCACTTTTTTTCCGGCCCTATCCTTGACATCTATGCGGTTTTCTCATACTTCTTTATGTAGTCGTCTCTTATATTCTAGGATAAGGTTTGTCTATCTGGCATTGTCTAGTCGGACGGTGTGTCGAGCCCAACTACACTTTAATTTCGAGTTATGAGTTATGACATCATCCACCTTCCTCCTTGATCTGAGCTCGTCGTTTGATCCCTAGAGGGCCATAGAAGAAACGGTGCCGTCGATCACCATTTCTTCTATGGCCCTTCGCGTGGTCCTAAATCTGTTTGCTGATTTAATTTTCTGCGAAGTAGTCATGGCATGAGTCATTACAGATATGCTACAAAATATTAAATACAAATACCTTCCTCTTTAGGTTTTTAGGGATTTTCGGATCCCTCGGAACTGTTCCTAGCTTTCCAGTCGCCATTCACGCCAACTGGATTATTCTGCTGATTCCTGTTGTTTGGTTTAATTTACCAATCTTGATGTTATGCCTTAATTGGAAATAATTTTCGACCTTTTCTACGATCATATCATCCTAATATTTTCGATATTTAACTTTATCATTTCAACCATGATTGAGTTGACTCCCCAAGAGACTGTGTTTCATCGGAGACCATTTAAATTCTGTTGTGATGTCTATTCTTCAGATCCAACATTTTTTTCTGTTATATTTCCATATGGGTCACTTGATCTATGCAGTTTTGCATGCCCTATCATGTTCAGTTCTTTGCAATCACCGTTGTCAAGATATTTGTATTGTAGCTCCCCCTTAGATCTCTAACTCATCAAGTCTCGGGTATCCTTTCGTAGTTTAATATTGTATATTTCCTTGTATAACATATTTTAACCATAACTGATTTGATACTATACTTTATTTTTTCCCAAGATAGATTTTGACATTGAAAATTTTGAAACATAAACAATAATGCTTGACCCTGATTGGTCGCAAAATGAGGTGTTTCTGCAGGTTGACATCAGTTTTACAATAGCGGCCAATAAGTTGCATTAGCGGCATTGCTTATGTTTCAAAGTTGACAATGTCAAAATCTATCTTGGAAAAAAATAAAGTATAGACATTATTTCTTTCTGTAAATAGTCAATTATTAACGTTAAGTTTTTCTCCATAGAGAGTGGATTCGATTGATATTTCTGAATGTTCTCTCTCAAAGGTGATGGGAAAAGTATTTTATTTTGAATCATATTGTAATTTCCACATTTCTTACTCGTTTGAAGGTTCCAAAATGTCATTTTACTTTTGTTTACTTTAAAGCAGGCCGAAAGTGACAGTTCTCCTGTCACTTTCGGTCTGGAGAAATCTCTTCCGGCCTGTTAAATTGTTCTTTCACACCTAAACACAAATCCAGGTGCAATGTTTGTATTTAGAAGTAGATGTCACATGTGTTTGTATTATTGAAATTCCATAAGATGTCAATGAGTCAATGTCGGTATACATATTTCGGTGGAAAGTTCTCACATATACTGTCTCGAGAATTGGTTAACCTCGGCGCTTCGCACCTCGGTCAACCATAGTATCTCTCGACAATAATGAAACACTTTCCACCTTCGCATGTGATATACTATTATTTTAAATCATAAATGTAATTTTCACATTCTGTACTAGTTTGAAGGTTCGAAAATGTCACTTTACTTCTGTTTACTTTGAAGTAGGCCGAAAGTCACTGTCCTCTGTCACTTTCGGCCTGGAGAACTCATTTTCCGCCCTGATAAATTGTTCTTTCACACCTAAACACATATCCAGGTGCAATTTTTGTATTTAGAAGTAGATGTCACATGTTGTTGAAATTTTCGACGTCTTTTACAATCTTCCTTCGTTATGTGATATAAATCCAATTTTTAACTGATGAGTCTGGACTTGTTCAAGTCCAATTTCTTTTGAGTGACTTTTGGAAGAGTTTATTCGTATATTACAAGTTTTATTTTTGAAGGTAAATTAATAGACTTTTTCCTCGTTTGTTTGAAAATGGCAAATTTTCCCTTGTGCTGGATCACATTTAGGTTGATTTTCCCTACTTTACCATTAAAGCGCCCATTATGATCCTAAAATAGGCCTTTCTTTTCTTTCTCTGATCAAGAAATGTCCTCATATGCCACCTCCTCATCATCAGTATTACTTATGGGAGCGTATACCTACTACTCAGCATCTCTATCCTACTATAGAATGGTTGAAGAGGCAACTCTGAGAGGTCACTGCTTCACCGGTACGGGATACGTATTATGGAAACCACATTTAGTGCATTCGTATGCAGGATGCAAAGTTGAACTACATGGAAAGTTCATGCTGCCTCTCTTGCAAATTGAATTATTAACTAGTTTCCCAAAACCAATGAAATTACAACTTGAACGAAAAATTCTCCAGCCCTTAGAATTAGAAGTTCTTCAAGGATCCGGCCTTGCAAAATTTCTCTACAATATTTTCACACCAACACGCAAAATGTTCATTTGCACTAATGTCGCATGCATCTTCACAGCAGGACAAAACCAACCACACATGCACAGGCGCTCACAAAACCACCTTAATCGAATCGCTGACTGGAATTTGAGAATCAATGAAAACGAGACAAAACCGAGAAACATAGAAGAAAATTTGAACACAAATTGAAATAGGCAAGACGTTTCTTGAAGTTAATAAATTTGATAGACTGGCCAGCATCCTCTCCATCTTTGCTCTATGGATCAGTAACTTTCTGACAAGTCATAAGAAGAAACTGCAAATATCAGCACTTCGTGGTACATCTGGTACACCGACTTACAACCAATTTAGACTAGGCACGTTTTCAAAAATGAACAGTGCAAGAAGCGTTTCATGTAGCAATTGGGGGGATTACGTTTTTAGGATATTTCGACCCCGCTGAATACGAATCTGTCTGTTGCCAAAGCCAAATTTGCACCGGAAGTCCGGTATCCAAGATGGTGTTCAAAACTCTGTTGTCCTATATTTCCCTTGTCCGTTGGCTTGTAATATTGATTCAAACATCTGCTTAGGAGTTTTCTCGAATGCTAGGTACATTGTAATGCTTGAAATTTACTTAGCTTAAGTTTGGAGTGCATGGGCTCCAAGATGACCGCCGAAGGAAGTGAAGAAAACGACTATTCCAATGTTCAAACATTGTTTATTGCAGGGTCATCATTCTATTGTCGTTAGTTCAAGACAATAATACAAGAAAGATAATAAATCACCCTTTTAACGAGTTATTGGTGAGAGCGGTGGCACTACTTGGTGCAAGTCAGTCCATTCTTCTTGTATGTGCACATTGTTGTTAGGCAGTGGGACGAACAATGTCAGGCTTCATCGCCGCTAGATAAATCTTTGGCCACCTGTTTAGAAAAATAAAAACGTTTCAACAATAAATTAATCTTTGGACTTGCTGAAACACCTGAATAAACTTTACCGACCTTATAAAGCTGTACGAGAAACTTCTCTGCATTTGCCTTTAATGAGGGACTTAGCGGAGAGTGCCCTAAGTTGTCCAGAAGTTGGCAGGTCGTTCCATTGAAGACTTTCCACGTTGCTTTCTTCGTTATTGTTGCAAGGTGAGACATCGAGTCGCAACCCGTAATTGCGTGGAACGCCAAGATGTTCTTCTTTTTAGCATTAGGAAAAATTTTGCAAATCTCATGTACTGATACTTCCTTTCGTTCGCTGTGTCTATCATCATCCACACTTTAGAACTGGTCATTTTGTCAAAGTGATGGATCAACAGCAAACAGATGTCAGTATCCCTGGCCATGACGACGATGTTGTCAGCATCAGTACAACGCGTGTATCGGCCTCTTCATGTGTCGCTGCGAGAGGCACTGACGTCGGATTCGGGGTTGGTTGATCACACATCGTCTTCATGTATGAGTCCTCCAGAAAAAAATAACTTCGATTGCCTCAAAGACATGTTGAAGGACTTCCTGAGAGAGAAAGCGGGCTAGGTCGGCCTTGTTTTCTCCCAGTGCTAGAAAATTCTTCCAATCTTTTTGTGATGTCCCTTCTGACTGGAGCAGCTCCCCTGGTCCGTCTGCAGCGGGTCCCACTTTTAATTGACCTGGGACGAGACCGGTCGAAAAGGATATCGACTCTGGCATACAGTCTTCCAAGGTGAACTTCCCTGTCGATGAAGATTGCAGCGAGGTCTCCTAAAGTATTGGCATTTGCTGGTTTCCCTATGCTGTTTACTGAAGCTTCACCGTCTATTATCAGTTGCGAAATATTCCGATCAATGTTGATGGAGTTTGGGAATTCCACGCCTTCAACAACGAGTTTTATCATCGATGCTTTTTCAGACGATCTGAGAATGCCATCCATTTCCGACACCTTCAGTAACACAACTCTGTTACCAAATTGTATTTTGGAAGCAGTATTGCTTGGAAACTCCTTGATAGATAGAGATATGGAGAGCAGATTTGTGCAAGCAGTATGTAATCCATACAATAATCTACGTTTTTAGTACACATTTAACCACTAAAAACTGTATATCTGGTATATCTGATAGATATTGCACTTCAAATACAAGGACACGTAAGCACAACAAAGCTTCAGCGACCATCTTGGGCGCCATCTTGGAACCCACGTACTCCAGGCTTAGGGTAAGTAATTTCTGAGCATTAAAATATGATAAGCATCCAAGAAAATCATTAAGCCGGCCTTTAAATCAATATTTTAAGCCAACCGACAAGAACAAACAGAGGTTTGGAAGCCATCTTGAATACCAGACTCTCCGTCCAAATTCCGCTTTAGCAACAGGAAGATTCGTATTCAGCGGGGTCAAAATACCCTAAAAATATTGTTTCCCAAATTGTTTTATGAAATGCTTCTTGCACTTTATAGGGATCGATTTCCTGCTTATGGGCCTTTACAAGTCGGCTAATTTATCTTGCGGCAGAATTTTCTCACCACCGTAATGCAATCACAAAATCACTTTCCAAACGAAATATGCAACAGGAACCTGAAAACTCCTGTCCAACCTACCAATTTTTGAAACCGGAGTGCCAACTCACCCCTATATACTATTACTAACCCATCTCTTCCCCCTTTTTCCATACCTCACACACACACTTTTTCCCAAAAAAAAAAACAGAAAATAACCTATAATAGAATCAGGAACTCGACATACTTTTTGTAGGTCCATAAATATACGGATAATGTCAACAACAGAAGAGAGACACCGAAGGGCAACCAAATTTGGAAACATATCCTCCGAAACACAAGTCCTATTTTAATAAATATAGGAAGAACGATGCGTCTTGAGAGTCAGAAATGGGAGTATATACCTCTCGAGAGACTAGCCACTCATGCTAGCGAAACATCAGGAAGAAATTCCAACTTACGGTGGTCATTGATCTCAAAGAAAAGTTGGTACCTTAATTACACGAACAAACTCTAACCCAATTGACATGGCAGTTAATACACAACACCGACAATAATATAAAGGGCTGATACTGATAATACACACTGAACTTTTTTCAACATTATCATTATTAACAGCATCGATTGGGTGTCAAGAACGAACACGAATACCCACTTCTTTTTGCCCCTTGCTGCATGAACGTTAGGATGAAAAACCTACACAAAAGCAAGCTTTCCTTCATTCTGTAATAATAGATATATATTTTTTTTTTTTGCAGCGTATCAATAGAGTGTAGTTCATTCTCTCACATCATATTGCCTGTTATTATTGTTTAAAAACTCCAAAATCCGTTTCTAGTTTAACTGTGGGTTTTAAATGGCATATTTAAGCCGCCCATTTGCCAGCTTCTGTATGTGTAATTAAAAAATAACTCGCGTATGCTTCGTCGGATTTAAAGTTCCACAGACAAACAGGGCCACGTTATTATTATATTACGTTTAAAATTTCGGAAAATAGCACGGACTGCTCATTAAATTAATAAACGCCCGTCGTACTCTCTCAGGTGCGGGGTGAATGCTGGGTAATGCTCATTATGTTAATTCAATTCTTTTACATTTAACGACGTTTTTGTGTCTGTATAAATATTCTGCGACCATTTAACTTTCACTGACTCATTAGGTTTTTCATTTTAACAACGCCAAATCCGAACAAAAAAGGTAGTAGGTCTTTTCATAAGGGCAATCGATAAAACTCTCGAGGCATTTCAACTTCGTATATCTGCCTAATTCTCGAAAAAACAACATTGTTTCTGTTAATATGCAACAGAAAACTAATTTGAGGTCCACACGCGACAGAATCTTGTTTCTACATATTTGAATGGGTTTTATTTTCGGAGCACTGCGGTTCAAAATTAAACATTCCTGGCCGCAAAGGTTATCTTAGTCTGGTGTTGTCTAACCTGATCTAACAACCCCTAATAGAGCTGTTATATTTTTGGTCGAAATGACTGAGGTTATTTCACTTGTTCAAAGAAAATTGTTGCAATTGTGTCAGAGAAAACTTTACAATTGGTAAGTTAAAATGATAAATTGAAAAAGAATTTATGAAATTCAAGCATAAATAATGGCTGACTCCTATGTAACTTCCTAGGAGAAAGATATGTCGAATTGAACCTCCATGCGAAACCAAGAGGAAAATATCTAATCATCTTCAATGTCCGACATTATTTCAATCAGAATTTTTGATCAGGATTTGTTTCATAGAGCAACGGCTGCTACAAAAATCGACCTATTTAATGAAGCTAAACTGTAGATAGAAACAATGATCTTTGTATCTCAGCACCATAATCCAGGATGAGAAAATGGTCCAAGTCCCTCCAAAAAAACAAACATTTATTTGTGAAAAAAATCCGATACCATACCTACGCAGCATTCTCTTTGCCGCAATGTTGCTGACAGTTGTTGTTATAGTTTTCATTGGAAATCAAAAATTACAATTCAGTGTGAAAACTGGTCTTTAAAGGGTTGATCTAATTTTTGGAATTAGATTTGACCTCTTTAAAATTATTGATCACATCTGTGCGAAATTAAAACTGAAAAATCTACAGGTTGCTGATAGAATGGTAATCGATGAAAGATTTTAAACTGAAATTGAAAGATATCGAAACTCCACTCAGCTGGCCAGCTCATTCAGGAAGTTCAGATCCCATGCGTAAGAGTGCAATGAAACCGTCTTGATTTAACCGGTCGCGGTAAACGAAAAACCGCGGGCGACGTGTTTTTGGCAACTGGTACTACTTGTCGGCAGGAAGTGTAAGGACTTTGCCGGTACCCTTTTTCAGTGTTTAACGCGCGCATTTTTAAAAGCCAAATTTAGCAAAGCCGTATCATTCTCAGGCATAGAGCACGCCCAATTCAATTAAAATAAGAGAAAACAAAAAATAAAGAAAAACTAATCAATTTTCATTCCCAAATAGGATTTAACATCCTAAATATCCAATTTAACCTACAGCTATATACAGGGCGCGTAGACGAAACTGAACAACATCATATATTAAGAATATTACAGAACACAGAATAATTATTGATAGTTTAAGTAGCTCCTGTCCTTCCTCACTTCAATTAATACAATTGTAGTAAGCAACAAACAATACATACCGACCACGGTATTTCGACTTTACTACAAGACTAGTAGAAATTGAAACTAAATTGTGTAACTGTTCTGAACGGTGCTAGAACTGGTTCGGGAAGCACAACAAAAATATTGCCTTACCTTCTGCTCTGAAATATATTCCAACGTTGTAGGTGGCGCAAGTGATGCCACATTTGCTCTCAATCTAGCGAACAACCGTACTTTATCGCCAGAATTTAGTATACACGATGGATACTGGAACAGTACTGTTACACCGCCACTATGCGTATCACAAGGGAATATTGAATGAGCGTGGACATTGAAGACGAATTGATCACTCCAATCGACCTAAAAAAAATGTAAAAATTGCTTTAAAAATTTGAGAAAAGCAGAACAATTTGTAAAAAAATCAGTGTGGATAAAATCGAGCATGAAAACATGTTTACAAACTCCCTAATAATACATTATTCTAATTATCTATTACAAATTCGTGGACTGGCTGGTAGAAGACCAATTAATTTTCCTATAAACCATTAGCGATATTCGATATAACGTTAATTAAATTTTAATGTGAGCAATAACGATAATGTTGAAGATACGCGGCAAATATAATGGAAAAAGTTCGCTTTCGCTCGCCTTTTTGCGAAAGAAAATAAATTTGAAATAATCATCATCACGTCCCTGACTGATCTGGAATAATTATGGAATATTTTTTATCTGAAATTATAATTTCTGGAATGCATTTTTCAATTTTATTGATGCAAGGAAGGATTAACTTACTTTGACGTATGCTGATGTTCTAGGAATGGCAGGATCTGAACTGGTTGGTTTCAAAAATATTGAATAGTGACCTGATAGACCAAATAATTCACATCTTAGAGGAAATACACTTCTTCCTGGCAAACCCCTCACTTGTTCTGAATAAAGAATCTAAAATTATCAAAAAGATTATTATTATTAAGCTAAACAGAAGCTTCCGAATTCTTACTTGATGGTTTGATTTGTTAGTATTCTGTTCAAAACTCGTCCCATCACCGCAATTTAGCAACGAATGCCCACAATAATGCAATTCCAACCAAAATTCTGGTAAAGCTGAAGGTGGCGTACCCTTTACAGGCAAACATTCCACGTCAGGAAATGTTAAAATCGACGTAACTGGATTTTCTGGATAGGTTTTTAAATTTTCAGGAGTTACAGTTAGTTGCGGCATAGGCCATCGGACATCTATTACTTTTGTGATGGTTTCCGAATCTGTCGATTCAGTGGAATTTACACCTAAGAAATGATTTTCATGAAATAAATATAAAACGTGTTTTTATTATAATATTATTAATACTTGTTTAGTAATCATAATAATTACTTGCCTATAATTGGTTGTTTCTTAATCTGTACATAATATTGTCCGCCTTTAGAAAAATATCCACACTGTACTTTGACCAAAGTGAGATTTTTATTTAAAGCACTCGCTTCAGGATAAACTGGAAACGTAGTTAAAGATTGCACGATATTGCCTTCTAACCGAGACACTTGGACCACTAGAGGTAGGAATGATGATGATACTATTCTGATATGGTAATCACCACTAAGAGCTATATGAGATGGGGGCATGATTATTTCTAAACCAGGAATCTGACCACCTGAAATCACGAAAGAAAAAAGTAATATTCTTAGTCCAGAATAATATTTTAAACTTTTCTCCTTACCTGTAATCGCTACAGCATTCAGAAACTGAAAAAGCAACAAAAATAACGGAAACGCGGAGACGCCGGCTAGTTTCTTCATATTTTGCTTCTAAATTCCGGGGCATTTTCGGTGTTTTAGACAAACCGTTTTCCTCCAGCTTTTTTTCAGGGCAATATAATACATATCAGTAGATGAGTACGTGATGTGGCTGGCGCACCCCTGCAATAAAAAGAATAATAGCGTTGCAACGTTTTTTTTTTGTCAACATTAAAGTTTATTGTATACCTTTACTTTGCTTGAGGGAGGAAACAACAACAATAGAAGAAAAAGGATAATAAATTATTTTCAGAATCTGTGAACTGTTTTTTTTTTTTTTCAAGAAGGTTTCAAAAAACATCCAATTTCGTTTCTAGTAGCGAAATTCATACTTGTAATGTGCGACTTCATAAACTCATCTAACTCTACGAAATAGCTCACTATAATGCTATTGAGTCAAATCATTGTTGAATTTTCCGAGGTAGCCCAAGAAATTTATACCTGGACCGCAAAAATTTTTGCGAGGGCAGGCTGATTTTTCCAGGGCTGATTGGGGAGTGTGTCCTGAGTATTGAGCCAAAAAATCACTCGAGAGCCTTGTGCGTTCGGCACTATTGGCCTTTTTCTTATTTATTTTTTTTCAACAAAATGACCTGCACAAAACTTGTAGATAATTACATTCTGTCAACTTTGCCTTATGACTTTTTTTGCTAGCTATTTTACTTTAGGCGCTGCGGCCATTTTAGTGTTTCAGAATTCGCAAAAAAATTAAATACCTAGCAAATCTGCAGATTATTATACCTAATAAAATTCTCTATTACTTTGCTTGATGATATTTTATTGTAAAAAGAGCGAATTTCGCAATTATGAGTACTAGGCTTAAAGCGGCAAAGTGGAGGTCAGTAGGAAACGTCTACTTTGCGAGCACAAATTTAATCGACAAAGTCTACTTTCTAGGCCGATTATAGAAAAAAAAAACATTTTGTCACTTTTCAGACAGGTAACAGGTCCCAGTATTGTCGAATGTAATACCACAAGAGGTTTCAGGATTACCGGATGATACTTTTACCTGTCACGAAACGCGTTACGAAGCAACACCACGACTCCGAAGGAGGAGTGGTGTTGCTGGTAACGCGTTGAGTGTCAGGTAAAAGCAGTAGGTAATCCTGAAACATCGAGTGGTATTCAAAAGGTTACACAACGAACTAAACTTCAATACTTTAAAATTTTAAAAAAATTCTATAATAGAATTTGTTATAAATGCCACCAAGCGCGATAATCCAAAAAGGCGTATCACTTATTAAGCCTCTCGTGTCAAATGGGAATAATGTACAATGAGTTGTATAATCAAAAAAAAACATCATTTCGATTTCACGCTTTCAGTCCGGGAAAATGATTTCACCAGATTAGTGAAGTAATGTATCATTTCCTGGACTGAAACCGATAACGTAATGAAGTACATTACCAGTAATTTTATTAAAGTTACAATAATCTGCAGGTTTGCTATTTAATTTTTTTGCGAATTCTGGAGCACTAACATGGCCGCAACGCCTAAACTAAAATAGCTAGCAAAAAAAAGGCATGTTGCAAAGTTGATCAGAATGTAATTATCTACAAGTTTTGTTAAGGTAATTTTATCGAAAAAAAATAAATAAGAAAAAGGCCAATAGGGCCGAACGCACAAGGCATTCGAGTGTGATTTTTTGGCTCAGTACTCAGGACACAGTCTCCAATCAGCCCTGAAAAAATCAGCCTAACCTCGCAAAATTTTTTGAAAAACCCTTAAATTTCTTGGGCTAAGGTAAGTTTTTTTCCCCTAATGTTTATGCAAAATAATCACTAGCAGCAAAGCTAAAGGAAATTCTGATAAAAATAGCGTATGAAGCATGAGATGTACTATTAAAGTTGCTTCCAAAGAACTTGAGAACCTTTGTCTCTGGAAATCCATCAGAAAAACCCAAAAATTAAATACCGATTTACGTGAAGCGGCGTTCTTTATAAATCACATTGAAGCGGCAACAGCGCTTGCCTGGGACACGCAAGAGCCCGACCGTAAATCAAAGACCAGCTAAAACAAATCGAACATCCGGTGGAATTGAAAATAGGAAAATTGGTAATAATTTTCACATGAAACCTAGGTTCTTAATCTTCTTCTATATTCAACCACGAACCATCTACTTCTGAATAAAGGTCTCTTCCAATAGCTTTCAATATTTCCTAGCCTGTGCCGCTTTTATCGTGTTTTTTCCTGCGAATATCATACATCTATCTCTTCTGAGGCCACTGTCTGTTTCATTTGTCTCGGACGCCACACAGCAACCCTATACGTTTATCTACACGTTGCAGCCTGCACATGTTCTATGCCTAGGGCCACGATATCTCGTACTGTCGTTTGGCTTCTGATGTTTTCATGTCTTCTTTCCTGTGTTGAGGATACACTAAGCTTTGACCGCTCCATCGCTCTCTGTGTCGTTCAAAGTTTGTAGGCTGTTGCTTTAGACAATGAAATAGTTTCGAATTTATAGTTAGTAAATTGTAGAATACACGTACTACATACTGGTTTATTCTCAAATTTAATGGTATTTCTACGTTTCTAAAGACTGCACGACCATCTCTGTACTTGTTTGATATAATGAGAAGTATAATGAAGGTTCCATACACATATAAATTATTACGATGTAAAAACCCAGGTGAGATCCATCAGAAGGTCCGGTGATCTTGGAAGACTTGAAATTATTCACTCGGACAACTTAATGGCAATATGTCAAGTAGCTTTCAATCCAGCTCAATAGAGAGCTGGAAATTCCAGACATGCAGCTTTACTCGATAAAATACGGTGATCCACCCTGTTAGAAACCGTGGAAAAGTCGGTGTAGATGAAGTGGATTCCAAATCCCCTCTCCAAGGCCTCGTAGAAAGTACCTATCCATGTACGAAACGAAATTCACATCTACGTTACGACCTGCAAAGAAACCAAACTGCTGATCAACGATGAAAGGCTTTAATAATAATTGTGAAATCAACAATGATCAGCATTCTAAAGAACTTGTAGCTATGGTTATGCTGATAGTTTCGATTATCGCTCTGTCTCCAGACTTGCCGATTAGGACAACAAGACTTTGCTTCAGGATTCGGAAGATATGAAGATATATGGTGCTATCCCCCCAAAAGAAAAGATAAAGCATGAACCTGAATGAAGGCGCAGGTTTTGAACAGAATCAGATGGATGCCATCTGGAGTAGGGCCTGTCCAACTCTGAATAGACACCAGCAATGCATTTTGAGTGGTCAAAGGCATTCAGGTTTCTGGTTGGGAGTGTTAGAATGGGTTCGATCGCTACTTTAGAATATACTTTAGTGAAGTAATCCATTCTATATCTAATCCATAGAAGCCCTTGCCTTTAACAGCAATATTTTGGAAGGTAAATCATTAGATTGTGGGCTTCCATTCACAAGATTTCAAAAGTCCGTCAAGTTCTGGGTGAGGCCAGATTCAGTGCAGCAAATATTATAAACGTCAGATGCTACCTCACTAAAAATCCTCATTTTGCTCCCAGCGGAAGGAAAAGTGAATATTGATGTCTTCCGCTTCGCATGGTGCATCAAACTATCCACGAGAGGAGAAGCACTTTTTTCCTCCCATGATATGTAAATAGCTATTTTTGACTCCTGTGCGGCTATTCTTGAAACGGGTGAGAAAGAGTCCTCGCCGGGGAGTGACACAGAGTGAGTTCTCCTTTTGTTTCTCACCCATTTGCATAAAAACAGTATTCTTGAGTTTGGGGTGAGCCTGAAAGTGAGATGAAAATGCACCATTGCTAAATTTCGGGTGAGAGTTTTGACCAATCAAAACACAGATCTCAATGACAATCAACCTATTTGTGGATGTCTTAACTCATTTTGTCTCACAGAGTTTTTTGGGTGAGAAAGTCAAGAATAAGACATTTGTCGGAAACACGCCCACTTTCACTCCAATTTCGGGGAATACTCTCTCAGTGAGATTTCAAGAATAGTCGCACTGATGCGTGTCGGCCTGCTTGCCTTTGCTCAGAATCAGACTACCGACAAAACTCCCCCCCCCCTTGTTTTCCTTTCGCCAGGAAAACGGTATCGTTTTTTCACGAACATGCTGCGTTGTTGCCGACTGGTGCCTCTTGTATCGTCCATCTATGTATATTGCTTGCATGGTGTGCTCTTCTTTAGCTTTTGCGATGAAGATGTTTGTTCTTATATAGCATTTCATTTTACCTCGCAGGATATCGTGCTTTCCACTGATATTTCTGGGGTTGGATTTCGGTCCGTATATCTATTACCTATATCGCAGATCCGTTGCCTCTGCTTGCTCCATCTATTGCAGGTTATTATCTAATGTCATCGTCCTCCCTGTTTTGCCTAGTCTGTTAATATATATTTTTAAAACACCCATGTCCAGTCAGCAGTTGCGTCATGTCATACTCGAGTCTGCGATGACTGAAGCTTATCCATCCCTCTATACATTTGGGATCAGATTTCTGGTCCAGTGTGCTTGGCTCGTATTTTCTCATCTTTCATGCCGTTTTCTCAGGGTTCTCTGCTCGCACTTTTACCCGCTCCACGCTGTCCACATCAGTTACATATCATGGGGGAATCCCCGTTATATGATCTAAATGTCCGCACTAGAAATCGTGCGGTGTCCACATGCTACAAACTAAAGAGTTTGTACTCCTTCAAGCAGGCTCTTGTACTTTTAATTTGGAGAGCTCCATGCCGCATACATAATGGTTGACTTTATCTGCCTTTACTGTTTGGCATTGTGACGGAACTAGCTATTGCCCCTTTTTGGGCTTTAGTCAAACCGCACCAGGGATGCCAAAAGTTTTTACTTTGACTGACTGTAGAAATTAACCATTAGGCATTGGATCATTTAAGCCTTGTATTGGGTTAGGGGTACCTTGATTCTCATTTATACAAATAAAACGCTGAAATAGAATAATTATCAATTTAATTAATAAATGAAAGTAATTCGGTATAGTCAGCAATCAAATCCTTAAAATTCCTAATTGGGCGTCCAGTCGAACTACAAATTTTATACTACTCTAAAGTAAAGTTTTCTAAAGTAAGTATCTTGATTTTTAAAAAGTAGGGAAATCTGATGATAATAATATCATTTATGGTTAAATGTTCAATGCACGAGAACACAAATTA